AGGACGAACACTGCGGCGGCCACAGTGATTCCTGAAACCGACCAAGGCCAGTGGGTGCTGAGTGGTGGCTGGGACGCCTTGAGGCCGTCCTTGACCTTCGGCAAAAGAGGACTGATCAGTCCTCGCATTTATCTAACTTTCAGTCTAGATATATATGCATATATAGGCGCGTGCACACACACAGACATATATATATATATATATATATATATATATATATATATATATATATACATATATATATATATATATACATATATATATATATATATATATATATATATATATATATATATATATATATATACATACATGCAGCATATATATATATATATATATATATATATATATATATATATATATATATATATATACATATATATATACATATATATATATATATATATATATATATATATATATATATATATATATATATATATATACATGCAGTATATATATATATATATATATATATATATATATATATATATATATATATATATATATATATACATGCAGTATATATATATGTATATATATATATATATATATATATATATATATATATATATATATATATATATATACATGTATGCGTGTGTGTGTGTGTGTGTGTGTGTGTGTGTGTGTGTGTATATTTATATATATATGCACATATATACATATACATGCATACACACACACACACACACATATATATACATATATATATATATGTATATATATGTGTGTATGTTTGTCTGTGTGTGTGTGTATGCATGTATATCCCAATACCGCCGGGAAAAAAAAAAAAATGGGGAAAATGGTGTGCCCACTTTCTATGTTTTTCGTGAAATGTCTGCCGATAGATGGCTCTGCTAGCGCCTGATTTGAAATGGCGGGAAAAACGTATTTTTCACTAGTGCTATGAAAATCGATGGTGTTATTTTTATTATCAACATTATAATTTTTATAATGTTTTTTAACATTAGTAACAGCAAAATAAGATAACGTAAAATATTTTGTAAATCAAAGACACGGGTAAACGGGCGAGACGGGCGGTGCTCGTAACTGGCTCATTGGTGATTTAGTACAAGTGTTGCCATCTATGCGTAAAAACAATCAAACAAGTACTCGCGGTGGGCATAGCACGTACGTACACGACATACCCGGCACCAATGGGTTAAGTATATATATGTGCATATATGAATATATATATATATATATATATATATATATATATATATATATATATATATATACACACACATAGACACACAATTCTACTCTTTATTGAGAGGTACTCTGGTAGAAAGAAAAAAAGAGAAAAACTAAACAGAGAGATAGAGAGAGACAGACAAGAAACCGTCGCGCGCCCTGGTCCCCCGCCCCCCGCCGCTCACCTGAGGCATAGATGGCACAGACGCCGAGGAAGTCGACGATGTCCAGCGCCCTGAGGTCCCCCGAGGCCACGCTGGACGACAGGGGCTTCAGACACTCGGTGGCGTTGAACAAGTCAGTCGTTCTCAGGTATTCAGTTATCCCAAATTCCTTCAGCCGCTTTATGCTGTAAATGTAGCGAGGATAAATGCATTGAAGATGTTGAAAGCTCGTTGTTATTATCCACAGAAAATATATCGAAAACCAAAAAAAAAGGACGAAGGAATAAAATGAAAAAGCTGAAGACAAAAGTCCATAATTATCTATCAAAATATATTTCGATCAACTAAAATGGCAAAAACAATAGAATGAAGGAAAATAACCACAAAACAAGATATATAAACGATGAATGGCCATAATTTAGCAACTTTATGAATCCTTACGCTCGATTCAGCTTTGTCTTCTGATCGAACGTCTTGGACATGGCTAAGCCCATGCTGACGGTCTTGAAGAGGCGCTCAGAGATAATGTACACTTTGCATTTTCCTGTCTGTAAGAAGGGAAGAGAGAGAGAGAGAGAGAGAGAGAGAGAGAGAGAGAGAGAGAGAGAGAGAGAGAGAGAGAGAGAGAGACAGAGAGAGACAGAGAGAGACAGAGAGAGACAGAGAGAAAGAGAGAGAGAGAGAGAGAGAGAGAGAGAGAGAGAGAGAGAGAGAGAGAAAGAGAGAGAGAGAAAGAGAGAGAGAGAGAGAGAGAGAGAGAGAGAGAGAGAGAGAGAGAGAGAGAGAGAGAAAGAGAGAGAGAGGGAGAGAGGGAGGGAGAGAGAGAGAGAGAGAGAGAGAGAGAGAGAGAGAGAGAGAGAGAGATAAAGAGAGAGACAGAGAGAGACAGAGAGAGACAGAGAGAGACAGAGAGAAAGAGAGAGAGAGAGAGAGAGAGAGAGAGAGAGAGAGAGAGAGAGAGAGAGAGAGAGAGAGAGAGAGAGAGAGAAAGAATACAAGGAGAAATAAACTTGATATTAAAATTAGTGTCTACCCCAACGAAAATGCCAAAAGTGTTAAAACAGCAATAAAATGGCAGCCTCAAGGGAAAAGGGAAACAGACAATAACTTGCCGTCGAGAAGGTGAGGTCGATGAGGAACACGATGGTGGTCATGGGCGCCGCGACGGCGTGGAGGCCGCCGAAGGTCTCCCTGGTGCCGCGCGGGACGTCCAGGTGCACCAGCATCTGCTTGCGGAGGCGGTAGTAGGCCGAGTCCGGCGTCGCGGCCTGGCGGCGCAGACGGGGCCGGGAATCAGGATCTTTGTAACACACACACATTGTGCGGCTAGAAACCTCTTCTCCAGCCTGCAACCCGCATCCTATCCCCCTAATTCTGTCATACTTGAAGTCTTCCTAACACTCCTTGTTCAAGGTTCCTAAATCCTTCCCACCCTTGCTGTTACCGCCCTCCCTTGCCTGCTTCCTACAGGATCCACCAGTGTCATCTGACCCTACACACACATGCATACATGCGCGAATATAGACACTCGGAGAGTGTACACTCGAGGGATGACAATTTGAATGTTATGGTTATGAATATAAGCATGACTTAAATGTGGTGTTCTAGTACTTGTTTTTTGTTTTTTGTCACTTCTTTTTATTGATTTATGTAGGCTGTCAGCTGCATAACTTCAAATTAAAATTGAACTATTTCTATTTGATGTTTTTTGTTTTTTTTATCTACATGTTAAATTTACTAGTAGGCAACTCTTTGTTTACATGAGGGATTTTGTTAGGCGTTCTCTTATTGCGGCTTCTTTTATCACGGATTTTATTAATACAGCTGGTCATCTTCTTTGATGTTTGCCATTATGTATATAATTTTGTTACTGTATTTCTACTTCACCTGAGATGTTTTACATTTACTTTTGCCCTTTTTTATTTCTTAAAGGTCGAGTTTGGTGCGTGCACCTTTTATAATTCCTTTTCTTTTGCTTAAGCATCTACTTTTGCCAAACATAGTATTTATCTCGAGTGAGACCAAATTCGAAAATGTATACCCTGTGTTTGGAGTTCCCGCCCGCGGGGTTTTACGAAATAAAGCGTCATTCGGAACTTTGGTGTGGTCACTACCCTTTTCCCGAGAATTTCTGGAGAATCCCAACTGGTAAAAACATTACAAAGGTGGTAATTGAGCCTTCTTTTTAATTCTTTTACTTGCCCCAGTTAGGAGCTGGGACGCCTATTAATGTTTCCATAAAAATGAGTTGTGACCGTATCTCATGTTAATGGACTTATCTTGATCTGAATGAACATAAATATTTTTGTATTATTATTGTTTTTTTATATATTACCATCGAGCTTATGTGTCAAGCTCACTATCATTGTGATTGAATAATAAATATTACCACTGCTGTCATGCGTGTGTGCATTTATTTTACTACCCAACGCAAAGCCCTTACACCGATACCTAACTAAAATCTGTAGGAGGATACAGCACACTTTGGAGGGACCGAACGGGGCCCAGTTCTGGCCATTAAGCCGCCTATCGGGGTTCCTTTCGCTCAGAACCCTTACAACATGCATACTTACATGCACACACATACATATATACACACAATAACACACACTATCCCTACATGCCTTCTGGAAACGCACATGCACGCGCATGTGCGTTTCCTGTAGGCATGGCGGCCGTTGCGTCTACCATGATGGCCTTATGGACGAGATTGCCCTCGGGGATCCAGATGGGGATGTTGGTCTCCGTCAGCTCCTGCAGGGTGTCGAAGGGCAGCACCACCTTCGGCAGGATGAGCATGGCCTTCAAGTTGCCCCGGTACACTACGCCCAGGATGAAGGCCGACAGGAGCCACAGGCCGCCGGCGATCCTGGGGCCGTTGCCTGCGGGCTCCTGCGGCACAGCTGCGGAATGTAGGAATATATATATATATATATATATATATATATATATATATATATATATATATATATATATATATATAAATATATATATATACAGGACTGGATTATCCTATAGGCTAGTATAGGCTGCAGCCTAGGGCCCTTCAAGCTTGGGGGCCCCAACCTTTTTTTCACTACGGTTGTGTTGGAATATAGTAAAATAGTGGTATTTAAAGAATATTTTTATTGACAAACAAAAGAGAGCTATGCTAGTTTATTTAAAGAATTTACAATAAGTTTACCTCAAGCTATGTAAATGTCGCTAAAATATATCACGAGTAAAAAATATTTTGAGGGGGCCCAAAATTTCATTAGCCTAGGGGCCCCAAAAGGTCATAATCCGGCCCTGTATATATATATATATATATACATTATATATATATATATATATATATATATATATATATATATATATATTATTTATATATATGCGTATATCCTAATATATATACATATATATATATATATATATATATATATATATATATATATATATATATATTATATATATATATTATATATATGCGTATATCGTAATGTATATACATACACATACACACACACACACACACACACACACACACACACACATATATATATATATATATATATATATATATATGTATATATATATATATATATATATATATATATATATATATATATATATATATATATATATATATATATGTCT